GTGAGACTCACGTTCATGTTGGATTTATCAAATAATTTTATGGGACATAATTTGATCAAAAATTAATTATCTTTAAGACCCATAACATTTATAAGTTCCTGTTATGGAAAAAATTCTTTGCATTATTCACACATTTTTTACACAGTTGTGATGCCAATAATAGGGGCTAAAAACTGGCGTTTAATAATAATTTTGGTCGTCATAAATTGTCGCACGATGAATAATTATTGTCGGCGATGACTTAAGGTAGTTGTCGTGGTACAATATTGTCAAAAATTTTTAGATTATACGCACCGTAAAAGTATACGAGCTGGTAGCTAAGTGATTCATAATTTGTTCGCAAGACTGTACCCTGGAGACGTTATTTTTACGTAATACTTTCAAATATTTTCATAAGTTTTAATCCGGCAACGTCGCTTATGCTCAACCAATAGATATATTGGAGACTGAATCAGACGTTTGAATTTACTGCGGAAATTATATCTATACTCGCGTACAGCCTTGCCAAGTTGTTTTTATCTGACACTAGTGATGTATACTTTTTACAAATTGTTGAACTTTAAACGGTTATTTATAAACAATTGGACGGTCAAAAATTTTTAATTATTTTTTTTTAAACTCAGCAAAAATACATTAAAACAATGTTAGTTTTTTGAAAGCTTCTGACAGTTAGTTTTTTCTGTATAACTAAGAAACTGGTACAGAACTACAGAAAGCCTATACAATCCATGTTAATTATCCAATTTTTAATTGAATTTATCTCGGGTTATAGACGGTCAATCGACTTCAAATTTTAAGGATATATGTATTGTCATGTCCTTAATAAGTATACAAAAATTCAAAATTTTCTGATGGTATGCTTATAGCACGACAACTACCTTAAAGCGCGATGAATTGACGATAATCCACTTATTTGACCTGTTTAAATAATAATAATAATAATAATAATATCTTAACTATAATTTTTAACCCTACATTAACTCAATATATCTTAAGTGAATATATAAAAACATAATAGTTAGGTAGGTATAACAAGCAGGGGGCAAAACAAACTTGCCTATAATAGTATTGTATACAATTAGATTTTATTATGTCATGATTTTTACAATTGAGGCGTGGAAGTACCAAAGGGGGTATCCCTGCTTAAAATACCCCATAGAGACGCTGTTCATCATCATCATCGGAATGTATGGTGTTTCTATAGGGTGTATCGGTATGTATATGTTGGGATTAATAGTTGTTCTATAGGGATATCCATCTTTGATTTATTTGCTATTGGGTTCAATGGGGAAAATACTACATAAATGTAGAAATTAGTTTTTCCCCCATAGGTTTTAATAAAAATTTTTCAAATGTTTTATGGTTGCTCTATAGGGATATCCCCATATATCCTTCATTAAGTTATTTGCTATCGGTCTCAATAGGGAAAATGTAAAAGTTATGGTGTGCCTATGGGTAATTTCCTATAAATTTTCTATCGGGCCGTATCTGGAAAAAACCATGGAGAAATGCACATATTGAATCCGGTAGCGCCCGATAGATTATTTTGTATAGGTCTATGGGGTATTTTAAGCAGGGATGTGTTTATATCATCAATTTAAATTTGTATAAATGGCCTAAAAATTTTGTTCATGGGTAAAAACCTTAAATCTAAAATATCTCGAAAACGAGAGCTTACCTAAAAAAACGATAGCACCATTGGATTCAGCGTACTTAAATTAGGTAATCCCCCAGGTACCCCGCTTGTTAGAAAAAAAAGTTTCCGATTCGAGCACAGTGTTATTAATAAACAATATATTTAATTCAATAGTTTTTTTATGAATGCAACTGATTGTTACATTATGCAATTTGTTTTTATAATATCCACTTTATTATAGTTAATTGTGAAAATCATGACATAATGAAATCTATTTGTTGGCTAGAATTTTTTTCATAAACAAAAGATAATAATTAAATTGTGAATTTTAATTTGCGTCAAGTGTTTTTTAATGAAATAATACAGTAAAAGTTTCAGGAATTTACATATGTATGTGCAAAAGTAATTATTTTTATTATTTTTATTCAAGTTTGCTTGCATACAACGGTTTTTACATATTGGGATCCACGCTTGTATAATACTTATGCAGTAATTGTTCTTACTAGTATCAAAGGAGATACCTAAATACCAATTACTATTAAACTAAAAAAACTTGTCAAATTTTATATTTAAATAATAATTACACTTATCGATTATCTATGTCAACCTTATTTACTTTTAAATACTTACCAAAATTTAAAAAAATGCATGTTGACTTGAAACTGTATAAAAGAAGTTTAATACCAATCTCAATAAAAAATTTAAAAAAAAAACGGTTTGAGAAGTTTTAATTTTTTAATTTTTACAGAAAAAATACTGGAACTGTGTACTTAAATTTACCTGACCTATCGTGGCATAGCGTCAGTGCGAAATTTTTTAACACCCTGTATAAACTTAATTGAGAATACTATTTTTAAACCTCAGGCTGTTAAGAATTAGAATTTGTCTCGGTCACTTTTTACCATAAATATAAAAAAGTATTAAAATTAACAAGGTTTCAGTAAAATAATAATTAAATTCAAATTATTAGATTATAATTATAATTACTAAAAAGATCTTGTTTTTAACAATGAAAATGATCTTTTGTGCTTTATAACTAAATATTGTACAGGGTGATTCCCTATAATGTCGCCCTCCTTTAAATTTTTTATTTTAAGTGTCCCAAAAAATTTAAAAGTGTTGTTATGTACAAAGGTACTTAAAAATACTTTTTTTTATTTATAAAAAAATGGAAAATTGATCAATATACAGGGAAAAACAAAAAGTTTATTTTTTTTTCAATTGATCACCCTATATATGAATTTATTTTTCGATTTCTTGTAAAATTCTGAGCATAATTCATATAACAAACCATATACCTAAACTCAACCGTTTCTGAAATATTCGCATTCAAAATGTTATCATTAAATGTTTTTTTAAACTGTCAGTATACCAAAATTTTTATTGAAAATAAATTACTATAGTGACATTATGTCAATATGTCTCGATAATAAGTAAAAATGGCGTACTCGGGCAGAGAAAAACAAACTATTTTAAATTATTATCTTAAAAATAATTTAAATAATACAGAAACGGTTGAATTTAGGTATATGGTATGTTATATGAAATATGCTTAGAATTTTACAAGGAATCAAAAAATAAATAAATATATAGCGTGATCCATTGAAAAAAAATAAACTTTTTGTTTTTCCCTGTATACTGATCAATTTTCCAATTTTCTTTTTAAGTAGAAAAAAGTATTTTTTAGTACCTACATTTAAATTTTTTGGGACACTTAAAATAAAACAGGTAAAGGGGGGCGACATTATAGGGGATCACCCTGTACATACAAGAGTTTGAATTAGCAGGGCAGCATTAACAACTATAATTCCATAATAACAATATATTTTTAATTTCTTAAAAAAATATATATAAATGATATTCAAAACGTTTTTGTATTTAAGAGTAAAATTTTGAAAAAAAATAAAATATTGAAGAAAAATATAATTTTTATAACCTTTGAAGATATTAAAAAAAAGTGCCTATGGGTTTGATACAAAGCAGGAAAAATTATATCTTTTAAAGAAATATGTTTAAATTCAACTTTTTATTTGTTAAATTACCTAATACATAATGGTTTAAAATATTAAAATTTTAAAGTTATAACTTTTTCTATTATTATTATTATTATTATTATTATTATTATTATTATTATTATTATTATTATTATTATTATTATTATTATTATTATTATTATTATTATTATTATTATTATTATTATTATTATTATTATTATTATTATTATTATTATTATTATTATTATTATTATTGTCATTTGCCAATAAACATTTTTAATCTTGCTTGTTTTAAAAATGAGTTTTTTTATGAAAACGTTAAATCAAATATATGAAATTAAGAAAACATGAAAATTTCTTTTAGATTCAGTTTTAGCCGGCGAAAACACATAGGAATATTCATGGTGCAGACCACTCTTTTTTTAAGGGTCCGTGAAATAAAGAAATTAATAAAATTAAATGTCGAAATAAAAACATTTATTTTGTATTTAGACTTTAATTTTAATTGTCAACGACTTACTCTGTTACAATTTTTCTATAAGATTATAAACCAGGCGGAGAAAGCACATATTATCGCCGTACCATGTTTTTTTCAAGAATTTAATTAAATAATTTCTTAAGATTTTGTCACATCATTTTAAGGTTAGACATGATTACATTTTAGCTTTATTTCTGTTTGGAGTTTAATAAAAATTTGACTTTTAAACTAATATTAATATGAAGTATTTTTTATTGCCCTTTTAGTTTCACCCTTACTTCCTAAGAAGTCCCAGAAGCCAACTGAATGGCTTGATCGGGTTAGGGGTAGGAACGGACCGTGGGCTTAAAATCCCCTCCGAAGGACTAATACAAAAAATGACAAACAAACAAACAACCATACCAATGTGGGACTCGAACCCACGACCTCTCGTTTTGTAGTCAGCAGCACTGACCACTAGTCCACCGTCGGCGGTGGACTTATGAGTCTTAATAAGACTGTCTTATAATATGAAAATTAATGTATCCTTGAAAAAATGCATTTTCATGTTTTTATCATTTTTAAGGATCCTATACATTTAATTCAATATTTTTATGGGAATCCTATTTTAACTATATCGGGTTCGAAACCGTTTCGATTGGTAACAATAATACTTGACTTTGAGATATTTTATTTAAAAAAGGTTTATTTTTTTTTGCTAATCGATTTTTGTTTTTTTTTGTCAAAATTATTTTACCTAGGTACCTACGTATTATAAAAAATAATAAATTTAGTTACAGAAAAAATAAATTTACTTATAAACCATGTTAAAATGGTAAAGCATTCAAAACATCCAATTACCCAATACTCGTACAAAAAACCAGTGTCGTCCAAAAAAATAGTTTTCACTTACCGGCAATTGATGTCAACACACTTATGCAAGGAACTTACTATTGCACACACTAAACTGCTTGACCACAACAAAACGACGGAATGTCTTTTAATTTGATTTAAACTTCCCCAATTGAATCGTACTAAAAGCGCGCATTGAACAGAGCAATTTATTTATATTCGAGAATAGGTTTGTTTGGAGGGGAGCACGGTTTTGAGCCGATACTGAGAATTACTTATTGGAAATTACTTCGAGGAATGGTTACTCTGCAATATGCAGAAATGTACAGACCAAATATTAAAGTTAACCAAATAATAAATGCACTTTCGCTATTTTTTAGTTTCATTGTCAATACCGTTCTCAAGAAAGCGTTTAGAAATTCGATCTTGACATGTTTATGTGTATGAATTAAGATTTGCAGTACAATTATTGTCTGAAATAATACAATAACGTCAAAGTTAATTTAATTTTTATTTGGACCTAACATACTAAAAAAACGCATGTGTAGAACAAATATATTCTTTGATTTGATTTAAAATCAGGTACGAAAATAATATAAAATATAAAATGTTTCCAGGAAAATTAAAAACAGTTTTTATTCCACTATTAGCAAAAATTGCTTTCATACGCATTTCATTAAAGGAAATACCCAGATTTTAGAACATACCAAGGATACATTTTTAGCGTAGTATTTTAAAAAGTGATTCATAAGCAAAATCCACATAAAATACAATCTATAAAAGGGTATTTAACGAACAAATCAAGGTACTCACAAAATACATACATGTATACATATGCATATATTTTATAATAAAAATATAATTGATTTAAAAACTATGAACGATAAAAAAGATTGTATTATATACAAACTTTATATTTTTAATATTTTTGTTGTGCTTTGCTCAATTGTAGGCCTTCGCTTTAGCGTATACGCGTCAGCCTTTAAATTTTGAGAAGCACAAAAAGACTTACTTCTTTGCCTAATGACATAAATAACTATTTTGTGCCTATTCATAATAAATATCTTTAGTATCGAGTGCCGATAACAATAAAATTTAATTTATATACCAAAGATAAAATCTATTAGGCAGACCTGGGCACGAGTACTAAAAAAAGTATTCGTAAAATTTTAAGTACGAGTACTTAAAATATTTACTCGTAAGTACTTTACTCGTAAGTACATTTGTAAAGAGTGGTTACGGTTACGATTAGTAATCGTGAAAACACGGTTAAAGAGTACGAGTACTTTTGAAAAAAAATGTTAGTTATTATAATCAATTATTGATTATTCTTTATACATTATGCATACTTTGGTCCTGAGCTATAAAAATACAAATACAAATTTATAATAGTATATTGTGTATCAAGTTTGATAAACCCCAATTTAGTAACGAATTTAATATGGCAGGAGCGAGCGAGTGCTTAAATTAATGAGTGCCTAAAAAAGTTTATAAACGAGTTATTATCTTAAAATGATTTAAATTAAGTATTTGTATAGAGCTCCATCTAAAAATCAATAGGGGAATCTGTATTAATGTCAAATGTCAAATTTGTATGTTTTATAAACATAAATAATAAATCAAAATGTATTCCTTGAAAATGGATTAAACTACAACCCGACTTTAAGTTATATCTAGTTTACTGCCGGCGAAATTAAAAGGTCATTGAGATACTAAAATAATTTTTACATTAATACTAATACTAATTGAAATACGAGTAAAAGTACTCAGTACTTGGCCAGCTCTGCTATTAGGTACGTAATATCATTTACATTTTCTTTAAACTCATATTATCCTCTAGGCTTTGTTAAGATCATGGTAAAATTTTGGCCGTGATAGCCTTTCTACTTCTTTTAAGATATGGTAAGGCATAATTAAGTAAGATGACGTTACTTGATTTGACAACGGGAAAATTAGTCGTTTAGGTACTTTTTTCGGCCGCAATAGTGCATGCATATAAACTTTTCCAAGATTGGCGTCAAGAAAGCCAAAATATATCCTTGTTTTCAAAATTCGTCTAAAAGGATGAGACTAAGACGAGATGATAATAATATGGAAGCCCCACTCGTACCAATCAAAAAAGTGTTTCCTCCGCTAATAAATTAAAATTATAAATTTTTACACGATCAAGTGAAATGAAAATAAAAAAAAGGTTAGTGTTCAAATTTGACTCCTGCCGGAGTTAAAGGATTCATAATTTAAAGATACTCTATCCGATTAGAACTTGTGAAATTGTGTTAAAGCGGTTATAGAGAATGTTCTCGTGATAAAACGTTCACAAACTGGCGTGTTTATGTTGAAGATATGCTTACCGCTTTATATTAAATCAATGTTGCCATCAGCTGAATTAGCTCTATTAGCTCCTTTTGCTGGAAAAAAGAAGCTAATTAATCTTATTGAACCACTCTCGATCCGGCGAGTATCATACAGAAACTGTTGGTGCCACTAATTCAAGGGCCCTTGCTCCACAAATCTAAAAATCCGTGATTTTAAAGCGTTATACAAAAAACTATATACAAAAACTTTCAGTTTAGAGTGCGAAATGTGATTTCTTAAATTCTTTGATCACGATATCAACTCGATTAAAGATGGTTATTAGAACTTGCAAATAAAAATAAAAATTCCTGAACGTCCGATGTGTTGCTCCGTTCGATCCTACTGTTAAATTGTTCAAACCGAAGCTTTAACTTATTTATCAGCTATCTTGATCGGCAGCAACACGTACACGGAGAAAATAAAATAGTAACACTAATAGAATATTGCTCATTATACTTCCTGGCAGCCCTTATTGATGTATCAAAATGATTCAAAAATAACCATTGCTGTTTTGTCATGCTAAGCTATTTGCAAAATTAAGGACGAAAGATAATTGTTATTGCTTTTACCAATTAAAATGATCTTTTGTTCTTTATTACTTAATATTGGACATAAAAGTAACTACTGAAGTTTTAATAGAAATTGTATTATTTTAAATATTACCTTGTCCTTGACCTTGACGTACATTGTATACAATATACATAGTGAAATACAGTTGCAACTGAACATGTGCGCATCAATGGTTAATGTTTTATTTTTCCGTGTCTTTTTTGTTAATTCAAGGGGATTTAGAGTGGTTTAGAGGGTTTACATTTACTGATCTATTGAAATCAAGTTTTATTCTATTGCCGGTTAGTTTGTTGGTCTGTAAACCTTTTTTTTAAACCCCCGTAGCTCAAAAACCCATGAAGCTTGAATTTTTATCTTTTTTTTTTATGCCAACGAGACCCATCTGGACCAAACTTTTTTGTGTCGCAAAGGAAAAGTACTTTTTTAAAATTTGCACGTTTTCAGGAAATCGCATACGAACAAGTCAATTATAATTATTATACCAAATTTGTGGAAAAATCAAGGAGGAAAAAATTGCCTTCAAATGAAAAAGTCAAATGGGAAAGTAATATCTATATCACTTTACTAAATCTATCATTTAAAAGGCATCAATGGTTAATGTTTTATTTTTTCCGTCTCTTTTTTGTTATTTCAAGGGGATTTAAAGGAGTGGTTTAAGGTTTAAGGGTTCACATTTACTGATCTATTGAAATCAAGTTTTGAGCAATCTATTTTATTCTGTTGTCGGTTAGTTTGTTGGTCTGTAAACCTTTTTTTAACCCCCTTAGCTCAAAAACCCATGAAGCTTGAATTTTTTATCTTTTTTTATGCCAACGAGACCCATCTGGACCAAACTTTTTTGCGTCGCAAAGGCAAAGTACTTTTTTTTCAATGTTTTAGTTAAAATTTGCACGTTTTCAGGAAATCGTTTACGAACAAGTCAATTATTTTACCAAATTTGTGAAAAAATCAAGGAGGAAAAAATTGCCTTCAAATGAAAAAGAATGGTAAAGTAATATCTATATCTATAATGGGAAAGTAATATCCATATCGAGACACTTTACTAAATTTATCATTAAAAAGGCATCGAAATGTTAAAATATCGCCGGAACAAGTCTATTGAACTAAAATATTTTTTACAAAAAAAGGTATTTTTTTTTCAAGCGGCCATGATATACAATAGGGTGGAGTGAATTTTTTTTTATTTATTAATTGATTTTTCCTATATTATTAATTGTTGACTAAAGGCGTAAAATGAATAAATATGGAAAAAATATTCCAATTTTTTAATATCTTGAGGTGGCGCATCTGTCTCGAAGTTTTGAAAATTCTAAAAAAATATTACATTAATCAAAGTAATAAAAATAGCATTATTTATAAATAAAAAGTTTATTTTTATAAAATTAACGTGAAACATAAACATATTTAATAGTAAATCATAAGCTTTAAGTAACTTCAGAAGTGTTTATTGGTAGAAATGAGATCTTCTTTTTCGCGAAAATACTGACATTTGGTATCAAAATTTGGTAATTATTTTCTGACTTTAATTATTGTTCTGATGAAACCATCTCTTGCTTCCGATCTACAAACCGAGACTGAAGATTCAGTATACTGGTTATAACCAGTTTTACACAGCGTTCCACTGCTTGTGTGTGACACGAAAATTTTTGAAACTATAGGAAATGGTCACCCGAAGAAATCATATCGGTAATTTCTGTCATCGTATTTCATAGTCATAGGTGGTTCAGTCACCTTTTCTGTCGCCCAGTGAATTAACTCGTACAAATGTAATGCTTCAGTATTTAGTTGTGGAAGATTTAATTCCCGTAATATCGAACATTTTGATTCTTTTCTCGCCTTTAATATTTTCGGCAATGCTAGTTCTCTGATCGATAGATATATTGTAGGTAACATAGCAAGTAATAGGTTTTCGTATACTGAATCTTCAGTCTCGGTTTGTGGATCGGAAGCAAGAGATGGTTTCATCAGAACAAGAATTAAAGTCAGAAAATAATTACCAAATTTTGATACCAAATGTCAGTATTTTCGCGAAAAAGAAGATCTCATTTCTATCAATAAACACTCCTGAAGTTACTTAAAGCATATGATTTACTATTAAATATGTTTACGTTTCACGTTAATTTTACTAAAATAAACTTTTTATTTATAAATAATGCTATTTTTATTACTTTGATTGAAGTAACATTTTTTTAGAATTTTCAAAACTTCGAGACTGATGCGCCACCTCAAGATATTAAAAAATTGGAATATTTTTTCGA